GGGGAGTACATGGACTCTCTTGTACATTTTGTCCTCAGAATGATCTATGCATATGACGTAATATACATTGTAAGATCAACACACTGCTTAAACGCACTGTATAATAGACACAGAGAGGTGACTGGCTTTAATTAAGGCTAATAATAATAATGATAGTAATAATGATAATAATAATAATAATAATAATAATAATAATAATAATAATAATAATAATAATAATAATAACAACAAGTATCATAATCCAATGGACGCCAATCGGCTGTCTATTGTTTAATAATGAAATATACATATATGGGGCAGATATATTGTATGAGTTATTGGCGTTATATAATAAACATGTATGTTACGTTATTACTAACATTTAAAACATGGCAACTAGGGTGCCATATTTTACACAACCAAAGAGAATCATGGATCACTCACGAGGAAATTGTCTGAAACATACACAGCCTTTGTTTATATATATACATTCTTGTTTAATGTTTTACATACACATTTTGGTGAAATATTTAACATATACATTGTGGCGTAATATTTTACATATACACGTAGAATTTGTCAGAAGAGATATGTGAAAGAAGACACAAAAACTCCGGATTGACCTGTCTTCCGCTCTGAGCTGAGATCGTATGCATAGTTTTTTTTTTTTTCATTTAAGCGATGCATATCTTACTCTTTTAACAGACATTTCCACCTATGGTAGAAATGTTTAGGTCAAACACACTATTCTAGTATAATACGGGAAGGCAACATTCAGGGTAAATAACTTTTCTCTGAAGCAACAATAAGGCTTCCTAAAATACAAAAAAAAAAAAAAGATAACAAGAAAATAGGCGTCAAGAAACTAATGTCTCCTGGGCACTTGTGTCTACGTTATGGAAGCACTTAATTGTGTCTCAGGTTACAAGGTTTTTTTTTTTTTTCGTTTGATCCTCTTCACCTCAAGCTTATGAATTGTTCATCTATGTCCCTAACAATAACTTTCATATATCTTACTGCAGAAGTAACATAGATATCTTAAGGATCTCATCTCACTTTCTTGCAAGAACTGATCTAACTCTTGAAAGTTACTCACCACCTTTACTGACATGTATGTCAAAGGTTTTCTAGCATACACGTAACTCTTCATCTGCTTGTATGTCGTCCCTTTGTACAATTAATCACAGTTACGAATATCATATAGCAAGGCTGTAGCATGCTGTTGCCAAGCACAAAATATTTCAGCTCAGAAGAGTGAAATTTTATTTCCTTGAAAAGTACGACCAGAGCTTTGAAGGCTCCCTCTTGTCTCCTGGAAGTCCAAATACCACCATTCCTGCAAATACTGATTCTGTTACTATTTCTAAGGTACTTCGGTAACGACCAGAAGCCACCTGAGGCCACCTGAGGTGCTTCCTTCAAGTCGAATGCCATTAATTTTCTCATCGAGATTTATAATTACTGGAGACCAAAATACAGGTATCGCGCGCGATACACTAGCTTCTGCACAAGCTCGTCTGCTCTCCTAAAACTTTAAAAACAAACTTTATTTTGTCCCGAATGCATAATCACTGAGGCGCCACTAATACAGTGGGTGATACATGGTGCGTCAAACTTTCACATTACTGGGTTATAAGTGTACCTTACTGTGGGTGATATATGGTACGTCATATATGGTGCGTCATGTATGGTGCGTCATATACGGTGCGTCATATCCTCACATCAGTCCTTACCAACGTTGTAAGTTAAGGGATGGAAATGTGCAGAGGTTGCTGGAGTGAGGTGGTGTGCAGACAGTTTCTTGAAACGACATGTGTGTAACAAAAGCAGTTCTTTTATTAAATGCGAAATTTTACCTATAAAAGACCTTATGAAGTACTTGATACAGGCTTTTGTAGGTGAAGTGTATTTAATGAAAGCTATCCTTATATGTGCTTTTTCCTACCATCCTCGGGCACTTTCCTGGTTTGGTGCGCAGCTCGGGCACTTCCCAGGCTTGGTGCACAACTCCGTGCCATACACTGCTATATATCAGCTCTGTAGACTTCAACATCACTTCCAGCGTTGAGAAAGACTGTTCACCACGTAAGGACATACATCGTAAGTTAGTCGTATTGCTTTTCAGTACGACCTCGCTTGAACCGACGCCCAGCATGGCTGACCAGTGTAAATCCGTTGACTTTAGTCACGTGTATACAGAACCTCAATGCATAGAGCATAATGACCGTTGGGTAGACACAGATCATGGTGACTCCATAATGCCTTGCATTAAATTTTCATAATGAATAAATCTGTGCCTTAAACAAAATGGTGCTTATTGTAGTCACTACTGAGATTTTAAGCATGATTTTGCAACGTGAATAAATCAACGAAGCATAATAACATGCAGATGATATTTAAAAATACAAGAAGGTGTGTAAAATAGGCCAAGTGTCTGTTCTAGTGGCGTGTGCTGACATGCCACGATCACCGCTGCTTTACAGTGCCAAGACTTTCATTTAATCTCTCTTTAATGTGTATAGAGCCAGGGAAAATATGTGTAATAATAATGTTGACGCGATAGAGAGAGGTAATCATGAACTGCAACATGAAAAAAAGAACATTTAGTGCTCGAAAAGCGAGTCGGTGTTCTGGATTGTAAGGGAAAAATGTTCTCTCGTGAGGTCAATGGAAATAAGTGGCACTGTCGGGCCTGGTTGGGTCACCCATTTTGATCTGGTTGGGGTCATCCAGTTTGGAAAGAAAACGTGATAGGTTGTAAACATATAAGATGTAGAGTTATAGAAATGGGATACAAAACCAACAGGCTAACTAATGAGACACTTGCGAAATTCTTGGGTGTCTTTACTGTTGTTGTTCCAGATTCGTCGGTATAATCGCCCCGCCTGGTCCTGTACCAAGAGGTGGCCTGACCTTGGCTCCCTGTCGCGGGAGTGTCTCAGACCAAAGTCTGCCATGGGAGGAGTTACTAGTACCTCCTCGATCTTTGCTGTGGTAACGTTTCACCAATCCATTTCGGAGTAAAACCGGTGGATAATGTGAACAGAGTGATTGAGACTAAAAAGAAACACTGCTTGGTGAAATGTTTCTCCAGAAAAGATTCGCAAGTATTGCACGAATGTCTTATTAGTCTACATAAGATAACGCAATGATGAATGAATCAGTTGAGGAACTAAGCGATGTTAGATTGTGTCGATGATATAAAAAATTGGCACTGTGAGCTAAAATTTTTGGGGGGCATGTAAAGACCGAAGAGTGATGGCAATATTATATCGCCCAGTTGAATTCATTAACGGAATTCATAAAAGCATTACTGAAATAGTGACTGGTCAACGCTAAGTGAACACTCTTGGTGATACGCTAAGCTAATTGGGCAGTACTTTAAGAATTGGTTGTTAAATAGTGATTAGTTGATTACTAGTTCGTATGGCCGAGACGGTCTACCGGATGACTTTACGTACAAGAGTTTATTACAGTGTCAGTCACGAATCACTGACCATGACAATATCAGAGGTCACACACTATGATAGTATCAGAGGTCACAAACCATGACAATATCAGAGGTCACAGACCATGACAATATCAGTAGAGGTCACAGACTATGATAGTATCAGTCAGAGGTCACAGACTATGATAGTATCAGACGTCACAGACCATGACAATATCAGTCAAAGGTCACAGACCATGATAGTACCAGTCAGGAGTCACAGACCATGACAGTATCAATCAGATGTCACATACCATGACAGTATCAGAGGTCACAGACCATGATAGTAACAGAGGTCACAGACCATGACAGTATCAGACGGAGGTCACAGACCATGACAATATCAGAGGTCACAGACCATGACAGTATCAGACGGAGGTCACAGACCATGATAGTATCAGAGGTCACAGACCATGACAGTATCAGACAGAGGTTACAGACCATGACAGTATCAGACGGAGGTCACAGACCATGGCAGTATCAGAGGTCACAGACCATTACAGTATCAGTCAGAAATCACAGATCGTGACAGCATCAGTCAGAGGCCACATACCATGACAGTACTACAGTGTCAGCAGTCCATTCAGATGAAGTGAGACACATCTGGCCATCCAGGAGACACCTTCATCACCCTCTCTGGATCCTCTCCTCATAATACATAACCTCAATCTCTTAACTAGTAACTGCATGACTCATCAGCACAGAATTATGTACATTATAAGGGTTTTGTAGGTATAAATATTACTGGCTAATGACAGTAGAAATTGTAATCTATATATATATATGCTTAAATATTTCCTTAATAGCTATTAAAAGATCTTTAAATCTTTAAATCGGGTGATTTGAAGGAGAAAACAGTGACTGATAAATTAATTTGTTTATCTCTCACAAAAGATACTGATGTACATAAATGTAACTGATAAACATGACAGACAGACAAACACCTTCATATAAATACACTGCAACAATAAATTACTACAGCTCCTGCCTTCGTTATAACCATGGCGTTAGCAAAGTCACTTTGCCTTCGGTATAAGACACAGAAGAGGACTAAATCTCTCCAAGTCTTCACTTTTTCTTCTTTGTGCTGGTGTGAGGTACTTTGCCGGGAGACGTTACTGTCTTGGTATCTGTATGAGGAACCTCTGAGCTGGCTGTAGATGCCGCCGCCGCCGCCGCCGCCGTCGCCGCCGTCGCCGCCGCAGCCGCTGTTGTTGATGATGCCGCTGTTTTGGAAGTAGGTGATGATGGCGGTGAGGAAGGAGGCGATGAAGGCGGTGACGAAGGTTTCGTAGACGACGACTCTGCAGCAGCAGCAGCAGCAGTAGCAGCAGGAGATGAAGGCGGCGTGGACGAGGCTGGAGGTGAGGAAGGAGGGCTCCCAGGGGATGAAGAAGTTGTGGGAGACTTCGTCGACTGTTTCTTTGGTGATTTGGAGTTGGATGAAAAGGAGGTGGAAGCAGCCTCGTCCTGGGGTAGGAGCGGAGGAGGTGGAGGTGGAGGGAGGCGGCTGAGGGCATCTTCAGGGTCCTCGTAGCAGTCCGGGACCTTAACCTCCGTCACCTGGGTTCAGATACAAGTGTGTAAGTGTAAGTCTACATAGACATCAAATACAATATTTACTAATGCTGTAGCTGTCATGTTGCCATGACAGCTACAAGCTAAAACGGTAGCTTGTTATGTCTTGTGCATGTGTCAGGTGAGAACATAACGTAGAGACTCTGTCACATAACGTAGAGTGGAGAATGTGTCACATAACGTAAAACAGAAAATCTGCCACATAATGCAGAGAACCTGTCACATGACGTAGAACAGAGGATGCGTCACATAATCTCTTGCTACTTACGTCTTCTCATGTTTACTAAGACTGAATAGGCCTATATAGCAAAATGACACGTATATTCCCAGCTCTCGGGGATTTACGTTGGTATATTCGAGAACTTAAACGACAAAATAAGCAAGATATTCATCTCTCGCTGCACGACGCCTGAATGTAATCTCCCGCATCACACCAACCCAGCGCCCCGCACCTCAACTCAGGCCAGAGCCAACCCATTTTCAGACCCTCAAGAGGAAGAAGAATATGCAGATTAATTCCCTTAAGAAACCTTTAAGATGTACCTCAATCTTTAGACGCTTCAGGGCAGGTTACTTGATGCTGCTGGACGACTTTTCAACAAGGGAAATAGAACTGTTGTCAAATTCTTTAGATTGAACCTGATTATATTTCATTGTCCAGATACTGTATGACCTCTACAAGCCTAGCACTTCCCTTATATGTAATAATAATAGAAATAATGATAATCATAATAAACAGATCACATGATATATACACCGAGAGGTGTATTTCTCTCATCGTATGTATACCGAGTTTACTTTAATCTCTGTTTAAGGGATTAAAGTCAATTGGTGTTGAAAAAGTTACTTGTGGCCTTAACCTATTGTAGTCAATAGTCTTTGAATCCCATTAACTAACCAATGATAATAAGAAAAGCTAAATCACTGGACCCAAGAGGTCCAGAAGAATTAGCTCAACAACTCCTTAGAAGCGTAATATCTCAAGAAACTCAGAAACTGCAGATAAGCACATTTTAAGAAGCCCAGAAGCTGCAACTTAACCCGCTCAAACAAGACTCACGAAATCGTAATGACGCGATTGCAAACAAACCATACCACGGACAGGGTAGAACCAGCGATCAGAGAGTCTCAAAACTCCAGACCGTCCAGACTGGTCCGGTGGCTAACGCGACGGTCTGGAGTTTTGAGACTCTCTGATCGCGGGTTCTATCCCCGCCCGTGGTATGGCCAATCAAACAAGTTGATAATACGAAACTAACAGCCCTTTGAAACAGGGCTGGATTATTCCGTGTACTTTTATCATGTGAGGCGGAGAAATGATGCTTTTTCAGGGGTGAGTTAGTCTTGGTAAAGAACATAACCCTAATTTTTAAAAGGGTGGAGGGGTAAGCCAGCGGAAGGCCTCGGTCAGATGACCATATGCTCCAGCTGCGGGTCATCATATGACTAAAAACCGCGTCAGGAAACACTTGTCATGTTTCCTGACAAATCTTACCGACCTTGGTTGCTCGGTTGGTTAAGGGAGTTTCAAGCAAGAGGATCATTAAGGATGCATGGAATCTGTTCACCACCAGACAAGTATACTTTAATAGGATTTACAGTAAACCCTCGGCAAATATACGCTGAGAGAAATACACCTCTCTGTGTATATATTCTGTGTTAGCTTTGCTGCCCTGTCACAGAAACCAATTAACTGGTCTTTATTAAACGCCCACCAGTTATTTTCCTAGCCTAGGGAATGTGCTAGAGTAAAGAATTATTAAAAAATATATAATTAAATGATTTATATTTATTATTTTCCTAATTCGTTGTGGGAAAAGATAAAATTAATATCTACTTAACGGCTAAAGGAAAGTATTTCAGATAACAGTGTGACATAGACTGTTGACACTGAATATTAGGTTTAAATTTTCAGCCTAATCCCAAATGGATTAAAGCCTCATCAACTAGGCTGTTGTTGCTGGCAGTATACAGTCCAAGGTACGAAGCACAGCCCGGCAGGTCAGGAACTGATATGAAGGACTTGTCAACTTTCCTCTTAGGGACAGCCAGAAGTTTATTGGTAATTCCCCATATGCGCGAAGGGAGGGTTCTGACAAGTCGGGGACCTCTGACACTTATCGGGTTCTCTTTTAGTGTGCTCGTCGTTCCCCTGCTTTTTATAGGAGGTACTATGCAACGTCTGCCAAGTCTCTTGATTTCATACGGAGTGATTTCTGTGTGATGGTTTGGGACCATTTACCCATTAGTTCCCAGGTGAAAATTATGATGTACCTTTCTCGCATATATTCCAAGTTATCACACGGATGAAATACATCCTAGTTTTTAAAATACAATTGTCAAACTGGCACAAGACCAGTCCAATAACCATCTAAATTTTCCTTTATGTAGGATGGACCAGCCATGAAAGTTTGAATCAGACCAGAAGAGGCATTCTCGTAACATAGCACAGAAACCAGTTGAAAAATACAGTAACAATACAGTAGCAATACAGTAACAATACAGTAACGATCAGGACCTTCGTCTATTCCGATCCTAAGCAACATTCTCAAGTCATCTTGCGGAAAAACGGTAAAATGAAAAGCAAATCATGTGCCCACTAATTAAGCCCATACAGAAGTATTTTAGTAGGAATTTGTTAGTAAACAGAAAATACATTTCGGCAGTTTTTTGTATACATATAATAAGTGTATTAGTTTAGAGTGAGTCAACAAGAATAACGTTACAGTTCGTGTTTTGAGAGTTGATGTTACATGTTATATTGTCTGTGCACTAACCTATATATTCTTCGAGTTAAATCAATGAACCCGTATCATCTGTGTAACGATATTTATGAATATATTTAGATATAGCTGTCAGGGACTACCTGAAGAGGTGAGCTGTGCTACAAGGCTGATGTGAAACTCTCGTTACCTCGAGTTCTGGATGCCCGGTGAGCCAGATGACCTAGCAAGCACGATCACCTCAAAACTGGACGTGGAAACAAATCCTAATTACACGGCCTGGAAGATTTATACATTCTAAAGGCATACTAACAAGCCCTAGCGTCTCAGTGCAGCCTCTAATCACCACAAATATGTGGGCTGACGGGAATCCTATGCATATCTAAGAGCCTAACTACAGCGACTGGACTCTAGCAGAGAGTTTCGTAGAAACTCTGTCACGCAAAAGCACACAAAAGGAAGAGAAAATTACTAAAAGCTCTAGGGCTCTCTAGAAAATGTGAACTTACTCAGCCTTCTTGAAGTATATTCAGACTGGCTGATCACCAACGGGAGATGTGACACAAGAGAGCAAGAGAAGCAGAATGAAATTATTCGCTTTACGGTGAAAGGCAGAAGACAGGAAGTGAAAATAACTATGAAATGAGTTGTACATGAGTGCTCCAGGGATTCTCTAAACAGGCATCGGTTCCAGAGCTCGCTGAAGTAACTACTTATAAGTACCGCTTCGAGAAGCAGTAGCTCCAGCAGGTACATCATCTTCACTCAGGCATTAACTTGAGCTAAACAGTTCACTAATCCTGAATTGTGTTGCACAGAATTTATTGAGCATGCAGTGCCCACTAGACTTGCAAAACAGCCTACAGAGAAGCTTAAATCTCAGTTGCACTCTTGAGGTGAACCACTAGTGGAAGGTGTTCAGCCTTCTAGAAGTAAGCACAGACCAGGCTGGCTGTGTAAGCCTGGCCAAGCCAGAGAGCGTTCTCTGCCTTCCTCACAAAGGGAGATAAGAACAACTCGCCTGCGTTTGAGGTCTGAGGCGGCGGTATCTCCCAAAGCACCGACCGAAGTGACTTAATATCCGTTGATACGTTCCTCCGCCGCTCCTTCGGTCGCTTCCCTGACAGTATCAGTGATTCAGCATGTTAAACGTATTTGCGTGGTTAATTGCGTTTAAAGCCTATGGACTACACAAGGGTTATTAAAGCTGCATGAAACCTGTTCACCACCAGTTAAGTATATATATATATATATATATATATATATATATATATATATATATATATATATATATATATATATATATATATATATATATATATATATATATATATATATATATATATATATATACATGTATATCTAAACACGTCGGCCGTTTCCCACCGAGGCAGGGTGACCCAAAAAAAGAAAACCCCGAAAAGAATGAAAAAAACTTTCACCATCATTCAACACGCTCACCATCATTCATCACTTTCACCATCATTCATCACTTTCACCATCATTCATCACTTTCACCATCATTCATGCATAATCACTGTCTTTGCAGAGGCGCTCAGATGTCACTCCAAACAGTCAATATCCCAACCCCCTCCTTTAAAGTGCAGACTCTGTACTTTCCACCTCTAGGACTCAAGTCCTGGAGTATGTAATGCATTTATAAGGTTATATATGAGAAAATGTTCAAAGCTGTATAATTCTGGCAGCTTTACACATGGGTTAACATATTTTGATCAAGTTGTGAAGTATGACCATGTAATAAGTAAAGTCGAAAGTAGTGACGTCACAGTAGGTGTCATCATAATAGGTGACGTCATGACAGGTGGCGTTATAACAGGTGACGCCATAGCAGGTGACGTCATAACGGTGGGACGTTACTGCAGGAGACGTCATAGAAAGGTGTTACGTCTTGCCGTGATTCGCCTATACCATCTGTGATACATCTAAACCATCTGTGAGTCACCTAGACCGTCTGTGACTCACCTGTACCCTATGGAATTCACCTTTTTTAAACTTCTAGACCAACAGAAACCCTTCTAAATAATCTGAGAATGACCTAGACTCACCTGTTACTCACCTGAACATGGGGAACCACCACCTGGTGGGGTTTAAGATCCTGTGAGGTGACAGCAGTGGGCAGAAGTGGAGTGGTTGCACACACGGCCATAGTGGAGAGGTTGGTCACTACACTGAACTCTTTTTTCGATTCAGACTTGTGAAAGGCTTTCTTAATCTGTCAACAAAGGGGAAGTAAATTGATCGATAAAGCCTCAGATAAACACATTATTTGCAAGGGCGTCTCTGGTCAGAGTGCATGAGTAGGTTATCAATGGCTTCTTCGAAGTCAAGGATGGTCAAGGTTATGGTACAAATTATTATGAGACTCATCAGAAACTCCTTTGAAACCAACATTTTTTAGTAAATATGGAAAAATATGAAAAGTATTGCTCTTGTTTACCTGGAGTTTACCTGGAGAGAGTTCCGGGGGTCAACGCCCCCGCGGCCCGGTCTGGACATTGTGGACATTGTGTCCATAATGAGTGAACTCGTTAAACTCAGCATTATCAAAGCAAATTTTGCGTTCCAAGATGAATTCTGACACGACAATAAGAAAACGCACGTTTTCAGTCTATCGTAATTTATTCATGGATTTTGTAAACCGAATTACATAGAAGAATTCCTCACACTAATGCAAAAAAAAGTTAGAAATATGTGAATGGTGTTCAAGTTTATGGCTTAAATTTAAGAATATAAATAAATTTTTCCCTGAATTCAAGAATTTAATTATTTAGTGCGAACCAAACAACAAATTTTTATGTCTATAATATCTCACTCATTTAAAATTGACCAGAAATTTATACAGGAGATGTATATTATATAAAAACTATGTTGAGAAGTTATCTTGTTAAATTTCTTGTAATCCGATAACTTTAATATCATTGACGTGTTTAAAATATAAATCTCAATGAAGCTTTCCATTTAAAAATTCCCAGGAAATGTTGATGTCTCTGTTAATTACATTGAAGAAAATAGAAAATTTTGAGTGTAGGGAAGAAAGAGAAAAAACAGACCAATTTTTAAGAAAAAAAAATTAAGAGAAAAAAGACCAAAATTTAAGAGAAAAAAGATCAAAATTTAAGAGAAAAAAGATCAAAATTTAAGAGAAAAAAGATCAAAATTTAAGAGAAAAAAGATCAAAATTTAAGAGAAAAAAGATCAAAATTTAAGAGAAAAAAGACCAAAATTTAAGAGAAAAAAGAGAAAAATTTAAGAGAAAAAAGATCAAAATTTAAGAGAAAAAAGATCAAAATTTAAGAGAAAAAAGATCAAAATTTAAGAGAAAAAAGAGAAAAATTTAAGAGAAAAAAGATCAAAATTTAAGAGAAAAAAGATCAAAATTTAAGAGAAAAAAGATCAAAATTTAAGAGAAAAAAGACCAAAATTTAAGAGAAAAAAGATCAAAATTTAAGAGAAAAAAGATCAAAATTTAAGAGAAAAAAGACCAAAATTTTAAGAGAAAAAAGATCAAAATTTAAGAGAAAAAAGACCAAAATTTAAGAGAAAAAAGATCAAAATTTAAGAGAAAAAAGATCAAAATTTAAGAGAAAAAAGATCAAAATTTAAGAGAAAAAAGATCAAAATTTAAGAGAAAAAAGACCACAATTTAAGATTAAAACAGCACAAAAACAGCATTAAATTTGGGCAAGAATTTGATGATTAGTTTATTCTTGTAAGAATGATTCTCTGATTACCTGCAGTCAGAGCCAAAACAAAATTTTAACAGATAAAAGGTGTCGTTGGCTGCAGTGTGAAGATAAGATCTTGGACAGCATAAGATGGTTGTATTTATAACTTAATTATGTGAAATATTTGACAATAATCAAAGACCCACTTGACACACTGTGAGGTGCAGTGACCATGTCAGGTCTACTGTCTACATGTGAGGTGCAGTGACCATGTCAGGTCTACTGTCTACATGTGAGGTGCAGTGACCATGTCAGGTCTACTGTCTACATGTGAGGTGCAGTGACCATGTCAGGTCTACTGTCTACATGTGAGGTGCAGTGACCATGTCAGGTCTACTGTCTACATGTGAGGTGCAGTGACCATGTCAGGTCTACTGTCTACACGTGAGGTGCAGTGACCATGTCAGGTCTACTGTCTACACGTGAGGTGCAGTGACCATGTCAGGTCTACTGTCTACACGTGAGGTGCAGTGACCATGTCAGGTCTACTGTCTACACGTGAGGTGCAGTGACCATGTCAGGTCTACTGTCTACACGTGAGGTGCAGTGACCATGTCAGGTCTACTGTCTACACGTGAGGTGCAGTGACCATGTCAGGTCCACTGTCTACACGTGAGGTGCAGTGACCATGTCAGGTTTACTGTCTACACGTGAGGTGCAGTGACCATGTCAGGTCTATTGTCTACACGTGAGGTGCAGTGACCATGTCAGGTCTACTGTCTACACGTGAGGTGCAGTGACCATGTCAGGTCTACTGTCTACACGTGAGGTGCAGTGACCATGTCAGGTCTACTGTCTACACGTGAGGTGCAGTGACCATGTCAGGTCTACTGTCTACATGTGAGGTGCAGTGACCATGTCAGGTCTACTGTCTACACGTGAGGTGCAGTGACCATGTCAGGTCCACTGTCTACACGTGAGGTGCAGTGACCATGACAAGTCTACTGTCTACACGTGAGGTGCAGTGACCATGTCAGGTCTACTGTCTATACGTGAGGTGCAGTGACCATGTCAGGTCCACTGTCTACACGTGAGGTGCAGTGACCATGTCAGGTCTACTGTCTACACGTGAGGTGCAGTGACCATGTCAGGTCTACTGTCTACACGTGAGGTGCAGTGACCATGTCAGGTCTACTGTCTACACGTGAGGTGCAGTGACCATGTCAGGTCTACTGTCTACACGTGAGGTGCAGCGACCATGTCAGGTCCACTGTCTACACGTGAGGTGCAGTAACCATGTCAGGTCCACTGTCTACACGTGAGGTGCAGTGACCATGTCAAGTCTACTGTCTACACGTGAGGTGCAGTGACCATGTCAGGTCTACTGTCTACACGTGAGGTGCAGTGACCATGTCAGGTCCACTGTCTACACGTGAGGTGCAGTGACCATGTCAGGTCCACTGTCTACACGTGAGGTGTAGTAACCATGTCAGGTCTACTGTCTACACGTGAGGTGCAGTGACCATGTCAGGTCTACTGTCTACACGTGAGGTGTAGTAACCATGTCAGGTCCACTGTCTACACGTGAGGTGTAGTAACCATGTCAGGTCCACTGTCTACACGTGAGGTGCAGTGACCATGTCAGGTCCACTGTCTACACGTGAGGTGTAGTAACCATGTCAGGTCCACTGTCTACACGTGAGGTGCAGTGACCATGTCAGGTCTACCGTCTATACGTGAGGTGCAGTGACCATGTCAGGTCTACCATCCATACGTGAGGTGCAGTGACCATGTCAGGTCAACCGTCCATACGTGAGGTGCAGTGACCATGTCAGGACCACCGTCCACACGTGAGATGCAGTGACCGTGTCAGGTCCACCGTCCACTTGTGAGGGTCTAATGTCCATGTCAAGTCGACCGTCCACAAGTAAGATACATTCCTCTTGTAAATAAGCCACCTGTTGCTTCTCTAAAGTTTGTCTTAAGTGATCAAGAGTAATGTTAGGTGATTTCTTTTCTCTGGCGAATACGCTAAGAACAACAACGTTCCATCATCTAGATTACTGAGTCCAGCACTCGTAAGCCAGAGGTCGGGACTGCCTTGTTACACGGTAATACTTACGACTACCTCACTCTCACATCTATATCTCTCTATCTATCTATTTAAATATATATATATATATATATATATTATATATATATATATATATATATATATATATATATATATATATATATATATATAAAGTTGAAAGGAAATCATGTTAGATGGTTCAATTTTCGAAAGAAGCCAAACGAAGCAAGGAAGCCAACAGAGATCAAGCAGTCCTTTTGCGCTCGCACACACACACACACACACACACACACACACACACACACACGCACATATACACACACACACACATACACACACACACACACATACACACACACACACACCACACACACACACACACACACACACACACGCACATATACACACACACACACATACACACACACACGCACATATACACACACACACACATACACACACACACACACATACACACACACACACACACACACACACATACACACACACACACACACACACACATACACACACATACACACACACACGCGACGAGGTGTCAGAGTGGGCGCCTGTTACAAGCGTGGTTCCACAGGGGTCAGTCCTAGGACCTGTGCTGTTCTTGGTATATGTGAACGACATAACAGAAGGGATAGACTCAGAAGTGTCCTTGTTTGCAGATGATGCGAAGTTAATGAGAAGAATCAAATCGGATGAGGATCAGGCAGGACTACAAAGAGACCTGGAAAGGCTACAAGCCTGGTCCAGCAACTGGCTCCTTGAATTTAACCCTGCCAAATGCAAAGTCATGAAGATTGGGGAAAGGCAAAGAAGACCGCAGACACAGTATAGTTTAGATGGCCAAAGACTGCAAACCTCACTCAAGGAAAAAGATCTGGGGGTGAGTATAACACCGAGCATATCTCCTGAGGCGCACATCAATCAGAAAATTGCTGCAGCATACGGGCGCCTGGCAAACCTACGGATAGCGTTCCGATACCTCAGTAAGGATTCGTTTAAGACTCTGTACACCATTTACATCAGGCCCATTCTGGAGTATGCAGCACCAGTTTGGAATCCACACCTAGTCAAGCACGTCAAGAAATTAGAGAAAGTGCAAAGGTTTGCAACAAGACTAGTCCCAGAGCTACGGGGATTGTCCTACGAAGAAAGGTTGAGGGAAATCGGCTTGACGACACTGGAGGACAGGAGGGTCTGTTATACGGGCTTATTTGGTAGGCTGTAGCAAGCTGGTGGTTAATGATACGTCTTCGGAGGCTTCTTCCTTTATTGTTAAGTCGTAAGGTGGGTACACAGGCTTGTGTTGTGGACCATGGCCAGGGCAGGGCCATCCCACGAGAGAGAGCAGGAAGCCGTGTGTGAGTGAGGGTGAGGCAAGTCTGGGCATACTGAAGTGGCAAGGCCTATAGGTGGCAGCACTTGAGTGGCGCGAAATATGAACTAAGCTGACAG